ACCCCCCCCCCCCCCCCCCCCGCCTTCATCTGGTGTAGTCTAATCAAACTCGTACTGGGAGAATCTGTCGCATTTATTTGCGATCTGGATGCTCAACAAAAGTGTTCGTCTACATGCATACCATATGCGACAACGAAACATCGAAGCGTGGCGAGATGGGAAGTCGCAATTACTTGCCTCACCGCCGTGCTTCCAAACGAGATGTTCACACATGTATAGCGTGGAGGACGGTGGTATTGGAACCAGCGGGTTACCCATGCACTTGATACACAGCTTGACACGAGGCAACGTTGTTCTCACACTCACACACGATATCCTGGCTTCGACTGGGCTTGAATTGACCCTTTTGCTGTCCTCCGCTCTTTGCATCATTGGCTTCCTAGATTCGAGCGAGGGCATTTGTGTAGCTGAGATGTGTGTTTACGTGAAAGAATATATAGAGAGAGTCGTATTGGCATTTGCATTTAGCGCCTTTCGTTGCCAGGGGCCTTGATTTTTACCCACCGGCACTGACGACTTTTCATTGGTCAGCCGGTTAGCGTGGTCGATGCTAATAATAAAGACACGCACAAACACTGTTTCTGTCTTTGATCCGAAGGATAGTTTAGCCTCCCCCATGCTGCCCCCTCACGGGGTCCCAGTTCATGGCAAATGAAAGTGTTTTGTGTTTTCAACCGCACTGAGACTGACGTCTTTGCATTGGTTAGCCGGCTAGCGCGGTCGATGCTAATAAAAAAAAAAACACACACACACACACACACACACGCATACCCGTCCCCTCCTCGTCGACCCTCCACCCACATTTGCATTCAACGTTTTTCGCAGGTGGCTGGCCAACTTGGAGAAGGCGTTGAAGCTGGCTGGCGGCAAGTACTTCACCGGCGACAAGGTAAGAAGATGACGAACATTGTAGCACACTCTTCCAGTGTTGTTGCTGTTTTTTTCGTCACGCGTACCACCCCTCACCCGCTCCTTCTCTCGTGCGTCACATTGCCCGCATCAGCGTAATCGATGGGTACATAAGGAAGCATCTCGTGTCCGATACTGGGGTGGTGTGGCACGAGAGTTACACAGATTGCTCATGTCACTAGCAATATGTTGGTAGCCGACAAGCACGTACGTAAGTGCCATTTTCACTCATTTTTTTGTTTTTCTCCCATCATTGGACTCTGTCGTCTGCCCCTCTGGCCCCTATCCTCCACTTCTACTAGCTAGACGACCCAACCGGGGTCACATAGGAGGGGCGGGTTGGACCCCCTCCTGCGGTTCATGCCTGAGGTATTTTTATCGCGAGAAGGGTACAGCAATCCTTTCCCTCGCGACTTACGAAGTTGATTGTGGTTTACTAACAAACGAGCTTTGCAGCGCATCGCTTTCATCCTAGACCAGGATATATTTAGTGAGAAAATAAACTCTCTCTGTCGGGACTCGAACCCATGACCTGGCCCTTAGCAGGCTGCGAGGCTACCCACTAGATCACCGGGGCGACCGGTTGGGATCTCATGTACTCGCCGAACTCCTTCCCACCCTGGAAGGAATTTTTTTCTCCCTCTCGGGCCCCGTTACCCGGAGGCGGTAGCCCGGTCGGGCTGCGGGTTTTGTGTGACCGATTCATTTCTAACGTGCGTTCCGTGGCCTTAAATGACGTTGTCTTTTGCTTCCTTGTCGCAGCTCTTCATCGATCGGCGACATCGCGGTTGTCGCACGGCTGAACTGGCTCACCCACGGTACATTCGAGGGCGTCCCCTCGACCCTCCTGGAAGAGTTCCCCCTTCTGTCCTCGCTCGTTCAGAGGGTCACGGCCGAGCCGAGGATACCGGCGTACATGGAGGAGCGGCCCAAGAAGTACATGACAGAGATTGCTCTGTAGTAATTGCCTTGCACGCGTGTCGAGAGCTACTAGCGTGCTACCACAGAAAATTCTGTACTGTACAAAAGGTACGCAGAAATTATACTGTCGGTAGGCGGAAGTTGTTGTAGACAACGGGCAGGAAGCTTTCCAACGGCATAGTCCACGTGGTGATGTCTTTTTGGTTTTCTTGGTGTAGGTGTGGGTGTGTGTCCTTCGTGCGTGTTTCTTGTGCTATTTTCTGCCAGCGATGAATGGACCGATGATCATCGGCGTCTGGCGCAGACTTCGTCTCACGTTACAGGCCAAGATTGAGTGCCAGCAAGTAGGTGGTGTGCAAGGCTTTGGACGGTAGAATGAAATTGGTTCTGAGTGTTCATTTGTTTCCCCTTCTCTTGAATTGTTTCAGTGAGAAACGCACACAGCATGCGTCGTTCAAGGACTTGAATAATGCGTGCCTTACTCTCTGTTGAACTCTTCGCGAGTGAGGAATGAACACAATTAATTTGTGTCGTTTGACTTGAACACTCTATTTGAGCCCTGCCTTCAATCAAGCGTCATGGTGGTGGGCAGAGTGCTGAAGGATGGCGGCCCCTGTGGCCTTACGGCCAAGCAGTCATTGCATGACCCGTAGTCTTCCATGACTGCATAAACAGAGTGGTCCGTCCGCAAGAGTGTCAGCTTGACCCCACCTGGATACCGTGCATGATGTGAATATGAGGTGCGCGGCCGACAAGACGTATCGGCACCGGGAACACGTGTTGGCTTCATTAAACGATTCACCCGTTTTTTCTTCCCGGCGGAGTTGTAAGCCTCGTCTAGGCCAATCCAGGCTTCCTTTCTTTGCAAGGAGACAGCACCATCTGTCTGCTTGACGGAAGTATCGAAACATTTACTTTGGCGGTAGTTCTATCGCCCAGTGCCTTGTTGGAGGGATTGTACCTGGCATCGCGCACCCACCCCTCCAATAGATAGAGGATCACCGATTTCACGCATGCATGCGGGAAGTGATGTGTTCGCCGTTGGTCGGGACGCTACACGTTCCAAAGTCGTTTTATTTTTGCTGGCCAAGCGCGTTTCTCTGTTGTCTAGAACTCCAGGTAGAGGCGTTGTGGGAAGGTGAGAGGCTCCGTATCGTCGACTCTGCTATCTATGCTTGCTTGCACATTTTTCCTTGCTCTTCAAAACAAATCGCGTGTTGCACAAGGCCGATGTGTCCGGGGTACAACAATCGTGTTCCCTGTGTGAGGCCGTGTAGTAGTTGTCTTCACAAAGGAAAAAATGGGAAATCGACAAAAATAAAAATAGGTATCCCACCCCATTTTCTGAGACAAAAAAGTGGGTACAGCAGTAGTACTCGAAAAAAATTCCTTGCGGAGATCGATCGTGACAGGGCACAGCCAAAAAAAAACTGCCAAGGAATTTGACCGCCTTTCCGGGCGCCCACGCTGCACTACATTTTTTTTGGCGTCCGCGCTTATGATGTTCTAGTGTTGGCCGAGGCTGGGGTTCTTACCGTATTCCCAGGGTCATGCTACGAATGGCCCTTATCTAGGTTTTAGTGCAGTTCTTTTTCGGAGTCACAAATGTTGGTGTTCAAGTTTGGTGCGATGCTGAGCAAATTCTCAAGCTCGGGCGGTATCAGTGGTCAAAGCGCACGCGACGACTTGAATACCCCGTCTGTGCTACGGGTACTTCACCGGTCTTGCACGGGGCGATCGGTATTGTTTATGCGGCCTTGTGATTGTGTATTGAAGCGCTGCGTTGTGTATGAGACGTAGACTACTGCGGGTGTTTGTCATCCCATGTTCGCTTGGACGGAATCAAGCAGCTATATCCTTAAGACGTGGTGTACCCAATAGCGAACAACCTTAGCCAACCTGGCCAACAGGTTGTGTTAACACCAAGTATTTCGACGTGATGTACCCAATAGCAACAAGCCATAACCGACCTGACCGACAGCTTGTGCTAACACAAAGTTGGACCATTCTGATTCAAGACAATTTAAGGTGATGCCGTGAACACACAACACGAAATCTCTCTCAAAGGGAAACGGCGGTGTTCCTAGGACTATTGTGCTGGCTTGCGCCGCAATCGACTGCTGTATAAACTTTAGAAACGAACACCTAGAAACATATTTTTCGCGAAGTCTCTTAATCAGCCATCGATTGCTGCCTCAACTCATCGAAGACTTCGCAGTTTTTATCACGAATGGTCCTCCGTCAGCCCTCGACTACTGCCTCGACCCCAAAACGTTGTTCATGAGCGATTCATATTCAGCCGCCATCTCCACCCCTACGTGGACACCAAGCGAATGCTGAAGAACGCTGTTCATTCAGTCATCGGTCGTCAGAACGCCTCATACAAGACACCTCCAGTTGTTCACGAGCGGTAGTCAATGGACCAAGGAGCGTCCGCTCAGTCGTAAACCGTCTCACCAACCAACCATCGACCGTCTCCATCGGTATTAAGGACATCGACCATCTCATCACACCGACATCGGCTCAAGTGTCCAAATTTGAAAAGACACCATACATTCACAGACGGCTCTCATTCGGTCATCAACGCCTGTCTCTACCCCTCAATGACACTGTAGGCGGGTGTTCACGAAGGGGCAGTCAATCGACCGTTTAAGTCCCAGAAGACATCGACCATCTCATCAGACAGCCATCGACTGATGTTTCCAACTCTGAAAGACACCGCACACTCACGGACGGCTCTCAATCAGAAATCAATGTCTGTCTCTACCCTGCAATGACACTACGCAGGTGTCTGAAGGGGCAGTCAATCCCAGAAGACATCGTCCGTCTGATCAACTTGCCATCGGCTAATGCTTCAAGCTCCACAAGTTGGCCAGCGTCTGTTCACGAACGGCGCTTAATCAGCCATCAAGAATTGTCTCATCCCCTAAACGACACTACGCAGGCGTTCACGAACGTAAATCAAGCGTCAAGCCATTAAGACAAATGACATGGGCTGATGTTTCAAACTCCAACAACGCACCAAACGCCTGTTCACGGACGTCTTTCAATCAGCCATCAGCAGCTGCCTCAACGCCTCAAAGATACTCAATGCCTGTTCACGAACAGTAGTCAATCGTCTTCGAACGACTCGCAGTCAGGAAGGAACTGCTCCTCTTCAAACACACCCAGTGCCTGATTACGAATTACTCCCAACCAGCCATAAACTCTGCTGTCTCAACAGCTACAGCATGTCGGACAGCATGCCGGTTCACGAACGGAAGTCAATCGTATTCGAACGCAAATCAGAAACGAACTGCTTTCTCTCAAAGCACACCCAGTGCCTCAATGCGAATGACTCCCCGACAGGCCGTCAACGCTGCTGTCTCGACCCCTACAGCATGCCAGTTCACGAACGGTAGTCAGTCGTTTACGATCGGCTCTCAATCAGCAACGAACTGATTTCTCTCAAAACACACCCAGTGCCTGGAAACGAATGACACCCAACAGGCCGTCAACTCTGCTGTCTAAACCCTACATGCAGGTTCGAAAACCGCCAATCGTTTACGAACAGCTCTTCATCAGCAATGACCTGATTTGTCTCAACAACACACCCAGTGCCTGATTACGAATGACTCCCGACCAGCCGTCAGCTCTGCTGCCTCAACCGCGATAGCAAGCCGGTTCACGAGCAGTAGTCAGTCGTTTACGATCGGCTCTCAATCAAAAACGAACTGCTTGCTTTTCAAACATCCCAGGCACGTGCGTCTCAACCAGCCATCAACTCTGCTGTTCCAAGCCCTCACAGCATTCCGGTTCGCGAGCGGCTCATTGTGGAGCCCGCGGCTCGGACCTCGCACCCCCGGGGCCACGCGACGCTTTGCAGGGGGACGTGGTTGCTGAAGAAGAACTGTCCGAAGACAAGCTGTTCGATGCCCTGAGGCCACACAACGGTGTCCACAGGCTGCCTGTAGCTGCGTCCGAGCTTGAGCTGCCGAGATGGTAGGCGCACACGCGGGGGAAGAAGAAAAATGGGACTTAGGGCAGGTGCCACATCGGTTTCGTTGTGGAGACAACAACAACAACAACAACAACAACAACAACAACAACAACAACAACAACAACAACAACAACAACAACAACAACAACAACAACAACAACAGCCAACACCCAAACGCTTTCGACCCTATCGATCCTCACCTTCTCAAGCCCTACCGGCCAGCGCACCCCCTGAAGCCCCTCGTTGAAACCGTCACCGAGGGTCAGCTCCTTCAATGAAGCGGGAAACGCCGCATTGTCTAGGAAACCCGTCGGAAAGCCTCCCTGGAAGTGAAGCTTGATCAGCCTGTGTTGTTGTAGTTGTTTTCAGTGGTTGTTTTCACGTTAAAAACCGTTCCGTTCTCTCTACCCAGTACCTCCTTCTGTCCGTACTAGTCAAACGCTTGACTCGGTCGATTCCCGTGTGCGCGAGGTTAATAGGCGGAGAGATTGTGGGATGCGATGCGCCAAGCAGTACCGAGTGGTTTGCGCCACCAGGTCAAAGGCATTGGTTGGAAGGTACGAAAGCAAACTAAAAACAAAAGAGCTTCCTGACCACTTGACGCTTCCGTCGATTCCATCAATTGTCAAATATGGTTGTCTTGACATAAAACGGTTCCGGTCCCGGCTAAGTACCTTCAACATCCGTACTGGTCCAACTGACGCGGACGCCTTCACAAGCCAACTACGTGTTACAGTAATGGGCACCACAGAACACCCGTAACAAAGGGATCAATTGTAGCGAGACCCATCCTCCGCCGAAAACCAGAGGTTCTAACTCTACCGTACCTCGGGGACAAGGGGGTTCTCCGGAGAAGTGGGAGCACCCGGCACACCAGAGACAGCTCCTCGAGCGTGCCCGGCCACTTCACGCCTCCCAGGGGGTGCTTGAACTCCCACCCCAGGGAGACAACGCGGAGCGACCCTGGCCACGAAACGCCTTCCAGGGCCTGGTCGAAGTTGCGGCCGAAGCGGAGGCTTCTCAGGCACGGCGGCCAGGTTGTCGGCTCGACGGGCTGGTTGAAGGACTTTCCGAAGGTCAGCTGCGGGGTGTGATGGTGCGTACGGTATTAAGATCGCGGGGTTGTTTGTCAAGAGGGGTGTCCATGCTGAGACGTAACACGGTGCGGGCTTGTTGAGTTTCCGAACATTAGCTTCGGGGATTTTTCGCGTGGGTGCGTGCGGAAAAAAATTGTGGGGTTGTTTTTCAAGGGAGTATCGTCTTGAGGTGTAACACGGTGCAGGCTTGCCGAACGAGTTTCCGAAGCTCAAGCTGTTGGTTGTTTTCTGATACGGTGCTTGCGGTATGATAATCGCGGTGAAGGGCGAGATCTAACACAACTTGTCTAGATTTGTCAGGTGGAAGCTGTTCCAAGCTATGATCACCCCGAAGTGGCTAGCGGCGGTATGTCGTCCTTCTTGACCCAAAGGCTTGATCCTGCTGTACAGCTGGTTACCCCCAGAAGATCGTATATCGGTGGGCCCTAGAAAGTAACACACGTTCGGTCGCACAAGCGACCCTGACAGAAAATCCTCCGCATTGCAGTAGAAAAAACAAACTCTCTGCGAGATGCAACGTCCGCCTGGCTCCGCCGACAGGGGCCCTCAGTAGACCCGCCATGTGCGAATGTACGCTCGCTGATTTCACCATGTGCGTGTTACGGTTTCAACGGCACTATTCGGACACCGTACACTACCCAACCGGCACTAGTGAAGGCCCACTACTAGAGGTGATGTACCCCCGTTGTTATTTTTTGACGTGCAAGAAGCGGCGTTTTGTACCTGCTTCTGGTGCCCAAGGACGTACCATTTCCTGCCCAATCGGCCACACGAACCGTTTCACTTTGAGGTTCCGAAAACCACCCTCATTTTGTACCTCTATTAGCCACATGAAAAAGCGGCGTTTTATGCCTTCTTCTGGTGCACAACGACGAACCTCTTCGAGCTTCACCGGCCACACGACCCGTTCTACGATACGGTTTTGAAAACCATCCATATATTGTACCTCGATGGCTACATGCAAATACAAACAAGCGTCGTGTACCTTCTCTGGTGCACAATCCCGTACGTACCTCTTCGAGTCCAATGGACCTCAGGACCCGTCCCACGTTACGATTTCAAGCGGGTTTCGAAAGCCATCCCCATATTTTACGTCCATGGCTACAAGAAAAAGAGGAGTTTTGCACCTTCTTCTGGTGCCTAAGGACGTACCTCTTCGAGCCCAACCGGCCACACGACCCGTTCCACGGTACGGTTAAACCGGGTTCCGAAAACCATCTTCCTGAGACCCATGGGAAACACCGCCCTCTCGATTTCTCGGTCGAAGGCGTTCCCGAAGACCACTTCCTCCAGCATCCTTGGCCACCGCACCGCCTCCACCTCCTGAAAATCAAAAACAGCAATTCAGACCGCGCCACCGCTCTTAAGAACCTTGTTCTTTTGGCCGAAGCTCGTTCCACAGTGTTGTTTGGGGTAAGCCAACATCTTGTACATTTTTTTTCGTCATCCAATTTTTTCTCGACGTCGATCCTTCCACCTTTTCGGAACACTCTTGCAAGAGGTATCAACAAAAAAAATTGTCCTCTGGACACCGTAGAACTACAGGTAGTTTCCGCCAACCATACAAGTATGCATATGAATTCATTGCTAATCTATCGTACAGACTATTTTGGAAAGAGATGGATTGCTTGTATCATGTTAAAATAAAAAAAAAGCCCCGGCCAAACCCCAGAGGAAATCGCGGAAATACAAAGCCTTCACTGACGCAATTGATTCATTTCTACTCTATCGTAGACTATCTTCTATGGATAGAGATGGATTCGTTGTGTCATATTAAGAAAAAAAAAAGCCTACTGTATGTACCTGGTTGAAGTCCGCGCCGAACGACAGCTTTCGAAGCCCCGACGGCCATTCGACCCCTTCGAGAGCCTGTAACGTCAGCAGCGTTTGTCAAGTTTCACACGGCAGCCGGGTGAAGAGAATGGGCATACGCAGGCGATGATCTGATGAAACGAGCATTTGACTTGCCGTGGGGCGGAGAGTAGCGCACATTCTCGTAGATCTCGGAGATGACTAATGCGTTCTATTGTTTCTGCTGGTGGTGGTGCTTGGTGACGGTGGTGATAGGCGGTGTTGGCACAGGTATCTGTTGCGAATACCCGAAAAAAAACAAGGCGGTTTCGCAGTCGGTCTGGTGTTCTACACGGGGACCACGACTAATCCTGTATTGGGAGTGCCATCGGGTATGCGGGCAAAACACAGCAGTACCCTCCCACATGGAACTTGATCCTTATCTTATTGTCGCCATGGAGTTTTGTGTGTGTGTCTACATCATTTGCATCGACCGCGCTACCGTGGGTTGCATAAGATATGACACTCCCTGGACTGATTTCAAATGCCTGACTATTCCACGACCAAGAGGATGCCGACCTCAAATGGTGCGTTTTCGGAGAGCTCTCGACTAGGCGGTTTCAACGCCGGCATTTTCAGCACCGTTGCTGCTTTTCCTGCCGTATAATCGTGCTTCGAATATCGGTCCAGGTGGTGTGAATCTTATGCAACCTACGCGAACCGGTTGACCAATGAACGGACGCCAGTATCAAAGCGGTTGAAAACGGGGGAACGCTGCAATAGGCCATGATGTGGGACCCCGTGAGGGGGGAATACGAGGGAGGCTAGGATGACAGTCCACCGCGCGTGCGTGTGTACGACAACGACAGGACGCCAGTATCAGTGCGGTTGAAAACGGGAAACGCTTCTCAAGGCCATGATGTGGGACCCCGTGACGGGGGATCACGAGGGAGGACAGACTGGCAGCCTGTTGCGCGTGCGTGCGTGAGCGGCTGCGTGAACCCCTGACTCTGTCGTGCCGACACTGGTAGAGGCGAAGGCGCGAGCACCGAAGGTTTCGCAAGATACCACACCCTCTGGACCGAAACATGAACCTCGATACAGTAGAGGTCCCTGTGTAGTGCCGGCATGTGCCGTGTAATTTCACCGACACCGTTCCGCCCCGGTACGACTCGAAGTTTTGGGAATTACTTGGTAATTCAATGTGTGCCCGTCGAAACCACCGGCGCCATACCGGGCACCGGCACTATCCAACCGGCACTGAACAGGAACCTCTACTGCTGTATCTCCACGACCACGACAGGGATGAATTCAGTTCAAGCGTTTCAGAAAAAAAAAAACTTTTCGGAAACATGGTTCCAACGCCACCGTCACTCTTTGTGGTGTGGAGCAACCGAGCTTTGAAAATCAGTCCAGGGGGGGGGG